TTGGAAAAATATTATTTCCATTATTCCACATTATTTTTATATTTTTTCCATCATTATGGTTTGGTATGCACCTATAAATATGTAGCCCCTCCTTTCATATTTCTTGAAGTATTATACACATTGTATAATTTATGTTCTCAATTGGTTAATATAAAATCATCATCTTCTTCCATTAATTATCTCCTGTGTTTTCTTTACTTTAAATTTTGTCTTTGTGTTTGGTGATCTATTACTTCAATTGTACCATATTAAATCTCGTTTGATGAATGCAAAGCTTCCTTGTTAGATCCTAACATAGACTAAACATAGCAATTTACTAATTCTGTGACATATTAGTAATGTTGAAACCATATCAACTTAAAACTTAAAATTAGAGAGATGAAAATTTTATATATTTAAAAAATTATGTAATTACACAGCCCATGATGCAGAGCAGTTAGAATAGAAAATCTTAACCCAATTGGAAAAGAAAAGAAATAAGAAGGATTTACAAAAATGCATATAACTTTCAGCTTAGGTGATGAATTTTCGCGAGAGAGTACAATCCGAAAGTATTTTTCGATTATGCACATTTTTTCAGCAAACATTGTGAAACTTTTGGGGTCAAATTCCATAGTTTAGGAGTCTTTTTTAGCATTTTTCTATTTTGAATTAGTTTAAGGGTATTTTCATAGTTTTTTGCAGTTTTTAAATTTTATTTGAATCTCTACAGAATTAGTTGAATATGATTCGTTTTACCTTTTTAAATAATTGTTAGTATGAAAACCCTACATTCGCTTTTGATAAATAATATTTCTGTTTTTCCATTATTTGGTGGATTTCAATAATTCTAGCATTTGATCGAACAAAATTATAGCAATACTTATTCGTGTGATATGAATAATACCCTTTTATTATTATTATTCCCATTTCCGTCATGTAAAAGTCAGATTTATTTTTTCATCAACCCTCACTTTTGACGACTATCAAGACCACTTCTCGTCATTGTAGACTCGCACATTCCTAGAATCCAAATACTTATTATTTTGCACCAGCTGTTCAAAAACCCGGCTGGCTCTTCTAGTCGCACCGAGTTTATATTACATCTGCACTGATTTGCTCAAAACGACAACATTAAAATTTTACCAGAAGTTCATGATGTATACAGTATTGTTTCTTTGGCTTCCACAGATTTCATATCCATGCTGCCTAGCATGTGACTAAGATGATCGAGCCCGGAAAAAAAATCCATTTTTCTCCAACTCATCTAACTTCTCATGAACAGCAGAAAACGTCGTCAATTTCTCCAAAGGAAGTGTAATCAAGGCTTTTAACCATAAAACTAGAGCAGCAAAATGCTTTGCACTTTTGTTACCACGCTAATTTTCGTATAGTATGAAGTCATTTGGTAACATCAGACTAACAGAAACAGATTCATCCACAAAAATATAACGAAAGCATTGACTAGTGCATTAATAAAATAAACAAGGCAACTGATATGAAATTTACTATATATTGAACTTGTGCAACAGTTTTTACAAGAAAATTCTGCAAAGCTTCTCAGCTCTGGCCATCTACAAGTTAAAGCAGAAACTGGGCTGAAACTCGATTCATATACTGATAAATTAATTATTTACTAATATGTAGAACAAAGAGATCAACAGGAATTGGAAGACAGCGACATAAATTCATTCATATTTCAAAAGTAAGATACATCAATGATTAAGAACTAGATCTACAGAAAGATCAAAAGCAACTAGATTTACAATTACATCAGGCCCAATTAGTTTTGGTATACTCCTAGTTCTTACTTTTCTACTGAGGTTGCGTCACTCTTATGAACATGTGTTCAGCAATTCATGCTTCATAAGTTCGATGTGGATCTTTTGCATTCAACTTCCACTAAGATAGATCACCATTTTATCCTTCAGATAGTTCACTAAGAGTATGTTTATACTGCAGGTCAACTTTAAAAACTTCACAGAATTCCCTAATCAATGATTCGTGTGCAATCTCAATCAATTCATTATCATTGACGTGATTATTATTCTCTAGTCTGCAACTGTTAGATGGCAAAGTTTTTCTTAGCAGCTCCTTTATACTCCCAACTCGACGATCTTGAATCCCACATGGAACTATCTTTTGAAAGGGTGACAAATCCAGGCTCACGTTCAACGCCAAGCCATGATATGTTATCCATTGTGATACTCTTATACCAATGGCTGCTAATTTCTGGTCTCCTGAAGGAATTCAATGTGTTAGGATTGTATAAATCTCCAGGCTGAGAACATCAGATGACTGGAGAAAAATCAACTTCACATATGCATAATTGCGCACTTCGTTCTGTATGTAAATTTACTAAGCTTAAAAAATGTAAAAGTTACTTTGAAGTACTTTTCATTTTCAAACATATTTGAATATGTTACTTTT